TGCATATTACTGCCAAAATGCTACGCACATACATACAAATGTACATATGTACAACTCACGGCAGCATACATACATATGCACATAATTACACGCATACTCAAATACAACAATAACTATTTCTTTCATAAACGCATGCGCGTATTTCTCAAGGCCAAGTAAATTCATTCATAAAAATAATCGCAGCACATCTCCCCGCAAATTCATCACCCTCAAGCGCAACTTTTTCAATCCGACACAAAAATTCTAAAATCTTAAAATGAAGAAATCTCGGCCAGCCAAGTGAAAAGTGGCAACTATTTCTCTATATCCAGTAAAATAAGTTATTTAGTTAGTTAGTTTGGTAATTTTTGGCAAAACACTCTATTTCTATGTTCCATATCAATATTTCAATCATTAACTAGTTTTTGAGATGTAATTTTAATAAACATTAAATAAAAGTGTACGTTTTCTGCTGGAAAATACATTGATTTTTTTTAATAAAACCAAAACTTCTAAAACCACAAAAATATGTGGTTTTATCGGAAGTCCACAGATGTAACGTGGCAACTTAGCTCGTTTTCATATTTTTCGGTCCGAAATTGTAAAATTTTTGTCCATGCCGCGCCACAATTTTTGTACAGGTGGGTCAATGTGCCTTGAACAAAATTTATATATATACAAAAAAATTATTTTATTTATTTTTTAATATTACAATTTTCTATACTTCAAAGCGTTTATAAAAATATATTTACATATATGCACGGACGATTTTTAATATTTTTCAACCGTAAGCAAATCTTCAGTACCATAAAAGATTCAAACACATCAAAGTACAAGCAATGCAATGTCCAAGCTAGTGGTACTCCATTGTGCATGTGTATATGAAAGTATGCATGTATGCGTGTAAAAAATGCCAATTCCAGTTAGTGTTTAACCCATTTTAGCGGACATGGTTTTTTTGGTTTCAGCTGGTTCCAACTGTTAATGAAGCACAATTTTTATGGTTAATCTTGATGAAAGTTACATGTATCGTCGAGAACATGGTTACATGCAGAATTTTAAATTAATTAATATTATTCTCCATACAAAATGTACAAGTATTGCCATATTCAATGCAAAGTTATGCGAAAATCTAAATATTTCGCAAACGTAGGGTTAATGGTTTCGCGCACGTGCCAATCTGGTGGCGATTCGCAGAAATTGAATAATTTGTGTAGATGGAAGCGGCGCGGGGAAGACGAAAGCAGAACAATCGTATATATGTATGTACTTATGTACATTTATAAATGCATACATACTTACATTTCATTTGTTTGTCTTTGTAGATGCATGAAAAATTTGGTATCAGAAATAGGTAATATCAATGAAATGCAGTTTACAAATATGTGCTTTATAAATTTAGGTTTATTAATTAATTAGATATGTAAATGACAATGTGGGGGACAAATATGTACATGAGTAGCGAAGCTGCCACCCATCCAATGGTAACTTCTTGCACTAGAAAAGATTTGAAAACTGCATTATTTCCCTAAATATTGAAAATTTTGAAAAATTTCTTAAATAGTTTCGGCTTAGATTAGCGAGATTTTTACTAATTGCTGGGAAAATCGGACGTTTTCAGATTTTTAGTATTTTTAAAAAAAGTTTCTAAGTCGAAAACAATTAAAAACTGAATTATTTCCATAAATATAGAAAATATGGAAAAAATTCATATAGACTTCCGACTTAGTTTTGTGAGATCTCTACAAAAAAAGGAAAACAATTCTTTTCACAGGTTTTTTTTTAGTCCAATACCAATAGTTTTTTAATTGAAAATAACACAAAAATTGGAAAATGTTATATAATATTTTCGATTTACTTTAACGTTGTGCGTACAAATCACCGAGAAGAAATTATTTTTTCTCCTAAAAACTCTAATACTAATAAAGTTTTATAATTGAAAATATAACAAAATATTACAAAAATCGAAAAAATGCTATATAACATTTTCGATTTATTTTCACGGTATTTGTAGAAATCACCGAAAAAAGGGATTTTTTTATCAAACAATATTTTCACAAAAAACACAAACACTCATGGGACTTTTCTATCTGCAATTATTAATAAAATATCACAAAAGTCGGAAAATGTTTATACTATTTTCGATTTAATTTCATGTTACTTGTACAAATCATTGAAAAAAAATTTAATTTCTTTTACTTGGGTTTTCTATTTGAAAATTTTCCCAAAATATAACAAAAATCATCAATATTCATATTTAATTAACATTCCAAATGCTCTCGTGAGATTTAGCTCTGTTAACATTCTTCTTTTCTGCTTTGTATTTTGCATTCGCTGTTAAGTATTCCAAATATTTGTCGTCCTAAAATTCGCTTCGCCAGTTTAGTTGGCTCGAAAAATGTGGCATTCACAGTTCTTGGACCTTCTCTATAAATATACGTTCTCTGGTTTTTGTTCACTTTTTATTGCGAACCAGCACAAATCAGCTACGCTACCTACCGGATTTCATACGACACAATCAATTCCTAATATAGAATAACAGAATGTAAGCATTTATCGTGCATCGTACGAATTCATAATAGGGGGTATAACGTTGTGAAGCTCATACAGCTCATCGATAAATCGTCTGCGATATTCGCCATCGCCAACGCGTAAAGGTAAATCTTTCGCAGAATCTTTCCCTCGAAAACTCCAAGAGCCGTTTCATTGTCCTTGCATCCGCGTCATACACCAGCACAGGCATGATAAGTGGCTTATAGAGTGTGATCTCTGTACGACGAGAGAGGACTTTACTTCTCAATTGCCTACTCACTCCAAAGTAGCACTTGTTAGCAAGAGTGATTCTCCGTTGGATTTAAAAGCTGACATTATTATTGGTGTTAATGATGGTTCCCAAATAAACGAAGTCGTNGAATCTTTCCCTCGAAAACTCCAAGAGCCGTTTCATTGTCCTTGCATCCGCGTCATACACCAGTGGCTTATAGAGTGTGATCTCTGTACGACGAGAGAGGACTTTACTTCTCTCACTCCCAAATAAACGAAGTCGTCTAGGCAGAACAGACGTAGCCCTTACTTTCTCCGACAGTATCGATGAGGTCGACATACGTGCCTGAGTGGTTCAGTTCTGTGGCTCTTATTATCTTCTCCAACATTAGATTAAAGAAATCACACGAAAAGTAGTCACCTTGTCTTAAACCTCGTTTGGTATCAAACGGCTCGAAGAGGTCCTTCCCAATTCTGACAAAGCTGACGATATTGCTCAACGTCGTTTTACACAGCCGTATTAGTTTCGCCGGGATACTAAATTCAGACATCGCGGCATAAAGACAACTTCTTTTCGTGCTGTCGTAAGCGGCTTTGAAATCGACAAATAGATGGCGCGTGTCGATCCTATTCTCTCGGGTATTTTCCAAGATTTGGCGTATTGTGAATACCTGATCTATGGCGGATTTGCCAGGTTTAAAGCCACACTGATAAGGTCCAATCAGTTCGCTGACGGTAGTGCTGTGCTGAGTCGCTACTTTTAGGTATTGATAGGGCATTCGCACGAGGCGATTTTTCAGGCAACTTTTAGTTGAAAGCAAAAATCGCCTCGTCCGAACGGCCTTTCAACTAATCGCTTTCAACAAAGTTGGNAACTACGTATTCAACTTTTGTTGCCTCGTGCGAATTCCCTATGATCAATACTCGGTAGCGATTTGAAAAGTATCCGATACTTTCGATACTCGGTACCGATAGGTTGAAATTTCTATTAGGAGCGCACAACAGCCAAAAATATGGAATAAAACCAGTTCAGGGGAGCCTCGCATACGGGGCTAATAGATGCAGCCTATAATCGTGAATAAAATAATAAATGTATGTATATAAATTTTCCGAATAGGTTTTATGACAGTGATGCAATAAGAACTGGAATGGGGATTTCCATAAAAAATCTTACGGAGGTTCACCTAAATATCACGTTCCCTTACTCTAAAATTTTACCCAACCAGAATTTCGAGAGTACACATTCGCCACAACGCAAATCTTAATAAGTCTTCTTTGAAGAGAGAACTAGCATAGGTATAACGCATTAAAAGGTCTAATAATGTGTCAAATGTTTTTCATCTTTTAAGAAAAGCATCGTCTTATTTTTAACTTTTGTGTTTTTTAGGTGAAATAATTTTTTTCCAAACTTCAAATGCATATTGTGACTTAGGCACTCCGCACATTACGCGCCTAATTATAGTAGTGTAATCGTTTCGTCATACCCAAACGAATGCATGACGACTCGACTTCTGCACACTTGCGCGCCATACATTAGTCACCAGCTAATAAAAACATACCACACATTATACACTCTCTGCCCGTTCTTTCTCAATTACACACTTCCGCAAATATTTTTGCAGTGAAATATTGCATAAACACCTATGGTTCAATACCATTTGAACGAATTTCAGCTCGAAATCATTAATTTTTATTTACTTCCTCCCAAAATGACGAATAAATTTTATTTCCAACACAAAACAGTAAACAGATGACGATTTCAAAACGGCAAGCGCCTTACACTGTTGGGCGCTTCGATTTATGAAGCTTTTATGATTAGGCGAAAACATGATTATGAATCGTAATGTACAGAGCTTCATTGAAATACATGTGTTCGATTACACTACTATGATTCGGCGCTTAATGTGCGAAGTGCCTTAGGTTTAATGCAGTGAATCGGTTTCGGCTGCCGAATAGGAAGTATTGGATACCGAAATTTTTGTAAAGTATTGGGTACCGACAATTCCGCACATCACTAGTTGACGGTGGGCTTCAGTCTTTCACACAATACACTCGATAAGACCTTAAAATCTATGCTTAGAAGGCTGATCCCGCCATAGTTGGCGCCTTTTTTGTGGATTGGGCAGAGCACACTTAAATTCCAGTCGTCGGGCATACGTTTATCTGACCATATTCTGCATAAGAGTTGATGCATGCACCTTGGCAGCTCTTCGCCGCCGTACTTGAATAGCTCGGCTGGCAGGCTGTCAGCTCGAGCCGCTTTGCTGTTTTTCAGCCACGTAGTCGCTATTCGTACCTCGTCATATTCGGGGGTGGGATGTCGACTCCATCGTCATCGACTAGGGGCTCGCTTTCGTTTTCCCCACTACTTTCAGTGCTGCTACCATTCAGTAGGGTGGAAAAGTGTTCCCTCTATAATTTAACTACGTTCTGGACATCAGTCACTAGGTCGCCATGGTTTTTCTTACAGGAGTTCGCCCTGGTGTTGAAACCTTCACTAAGTCGCCTACTCTCTGATAAAATTTTCGGACGTTATTCCTGTCGGCCAGTGTTTCAAGCTCTTCGCACTTGATCACGAATCCGTGATTACTGGAGTGAGTTGGACAATGAGTAAAGAAAAACGCAACTGCTTCCTTTAAATTCATACAAGTTTTCTTTAATTACGGTTTTTGTTTAGCGATTACAAATTAGTGGAATTTCAAAAATGGAATATTTAGCGAAGCGGCAGTCTGGCTGGTAGCAAGTCAAAAAAAGAAGTGAGAGGCAGCCTATTACATGCCTACTAGGCAACCTATTCAGAGTATTCAAGATTCACAATAGTTATTTTGAGTTTAGTACTAGAAGAGTTACAATAATAGGGAGGTGCCAGAGCTGCCGCGCTTCGTCCATGACAATATTTACAAACAAAACAAATTTAAACTGAAGCCTCGCTGAGGTCCATGTCCTCGACATGCCGGCGGGCCTGCGGAGTGGTGAGCAGCAACAACTCCTGAAGCTCCTCCAACGTTGCCAATGTCTTGGAGATCAATTTTTTCATCTTCCTCGCGCGCTCAATTCGGGCTTGGAGGCTAGAAGCGGCCCTTCGGATGCCTCTCCTTGATTTAAATTTTGCGGCTTGGTGGAGGCGAGAAGGTGCGGTGGAGCAGTGTGTGATGTGCTCGACCACATCGACGACAACTGCGTCGGGAGTCGAACGACCCAGTGGCATGGGAGGTGGCCAGGAAGTTCACACAGTAGTGATGCACCCGTGCTGATTCCAATCGTTCGCCCGGCGTCATGGCGAGGAAGGCTTTGCAGATCTACAACGAGTGGTTGCGACAACAGAGCCGACACTTGGATAACTCCTCTCTGGATCTGTAAAGATACATCGAAGTACGTTGTTAGTTGTGAAGAAAATTAATGCGGACAAGTGTAAAGCGGGGATGAGTATGTTATGACATGTAGTGGTTATGAGTTTGTAAGCTACAGATAGGGCGATTGGGCTAAGCAGGTGGTAGTAAACAGAGCTTCGTTATGCTTCGCGTGACAATTCCGGCTTGGGTGCGGATGTCCACGACGCGAATATTCTGATCAGGAGCGGGGTGTAATTTTGTGACGCGTCCGAGGCGCCACTCATTGGGGGGTAGGAGGTCGTCTTTAATGACAACTAGATCTCCTTCTCTCAGGTTCGGCTCTTGCCCCTTCCATTTATGCCTCTTGTGCAGCTCCTTCAGATACTCGTTCTTCCATCGTGTGCTGAATTGGTGATGGAGTACTTTGAGTTTTTGCCATTTGTTAATAAGAGAGAGATTCTCGTGGTTAGGTTCAGGGAGTGAAAGGAGTGGGGCGCCGCGAAGGAAGTGGCCTGGAGTCAGTGCAAGTAAGTCGCTAGGATCCTGTGACATGGATGATAACGGTCTGGAGTTAAGCACCGCTTCAATGCGCACAAGGAGAGTGGTGAACTCCTCAAAAGTGAAATGATGATTTCCAGCGACCTTTAGCAGATGGGTCTTGAAGCTCTTAACCGCAGCTTCCCACAATCCTCCCATGTGAGGAGCGTATGGGGGAATAAACTGCCATGAAAGGCCATGGTAGCTATACTGTTCAGCGACTTCCTTTGAGACTTCGTGGACAAACGCGGAGAATTCCCTCTGAATGGATCTATGTGCTCCTATGAACGTCTTGCCATTGTCAGACATGATTTTCTTGGGGATCCCTCGACGACCGGCGAATCGGGCAAACGCTGCCTTGAATGCTTCAGCGGTCAAGTCGGAACAAAGCTCCAGATGAATGGCTTTGGTGGAGAAACACACAAACACACATACATAGGCTTTGGAGTATGACGCTCGTCGTAGGGTTGACGTTTTAACCATAAATGGGCCGGCAAAGTCGACACCAGTAGTGTGAAAGGGGAGCGAGTATGTCGACCGTTCTGGTGGTAAGGCAGCCATCATTTGGGAGTGCATCTTCTGCTTGAGTATCGTGCATACCTTGCAGTGAAAAATGCAAGTCTTCACCTTTTGCTTGAGTCGTGGGATATAATATTCCTGCTGAACCATGCGTGTCATCAGCTGTTTTTCCGCATGTAGTAGAGTGTAGTGAAGAAAATCTAGGAAAAGAGTACAGTATCTGGATTTATCTGGAACTATGATTGGATGACGTTCGTTATACGTCAGAGCGGCGTAGGATAGACGACCATTCACGCGCATAAGGCCATGTTTATCGAGAAAGGGGTTCAGAGAGAACAAAGAACATTTTTTACTGACTGGCTTGGCTGTCTCCAAGTCTACAATAGTTTGTCCGTAATATTTATATTGAGCGGTTTTTATGAGTCGTAATTTGGCCTGATTTATTTCTTCATGGGATAAGGAAGTAGTGGGGGGAACTGATGATTTCTGTGTTCCTTTAATAAAACGATACATGTACGCAACTACTTTGAGGGCCCTGGAGAAGGAAGAGAAGCGATCGAGGAGGTCGTCGCCTTCTGTTACGTGAAACGTTTCCACTTGCCTCTTTTCAGGGGGAGTAGAGCTCTTCGGTGTTACTTGGGGCCAACACGCAGGAGGCTTTGTTAGCCACTCCGGGCCTTTCCACCAAAGCGAGCACTCTACCAAATCTTGCGGTCGGGATCCTCTTGTTCCTAAGTCGGCTGGATTTTCGGTGGTGGAGACGTGGCGCCACGTAGCGTTGTTGACATCTTTGAGGATTTGGGATGTTCTGTTGGCCACGTAGGTTTTCCAGGTCCATGGTGGTTTTTCCAGCCAAGCGAGCACGATGGAGGAGTCGGTCCACAAAGTAAGTTCATGAGCTGGCAAATCCAGTTGCGATCGAATTTGTGTCACTAGTTTGGAGAGAAGAACTGCCGCACACAGCTCTAGACGGGGGAGACTCACAGTTTGCAGAGGGGCCACCTTGCTCTTTGCCGCAAGTAGCTGGGAGGAAATAGATGTGTCTCCGTGCTGAACTCTTAGATATACGCAGGCGCAGTACGCCTTCTCGGAGGCGTCTGAGATACCGTGTATTTGAATTGCCTTATCTGGGGAAGATTGTACCCATCGGGGTACAGATATCTCCTTAATTGCGCAGAGATTTTCCCGGAAAGCGTTCCATTTTCAAAATGCTCCAGGCTTAACGTTTTCGTCCCAGTCTGTTCTCTCCGTCCAGAGTTGTTGGAGGAGCATTTTGGCTACAATCATTATGGGCGTTAGCCACCCTGCCGGGTCGAAAAGTTTCGCGACAGACGAGAGGATCTGTCGTTTCGTGGCCGTGATTGTGTTCGGAAGCGGGTCTACGGAGTATGAGAAGGTGTCTGTGAGTGCGTTCCACTTTATTCCAAGGGTTTTTGTAGAACTAGTGTCCAGGAACTGCAGNATGCGTTCCACTTTATTCGAAGGGTTTTTGTAGAACTAGTGTCCTGGAACTGCAGAAATTGGGTTTCAAGGAGATCAGACTGAGGAACGTTTTTTAAGATAGTTTTGTGATTCGCGGTAATCTTTTTGAGAGGAAACCCCGCTGGTTTAAGGGTATCGGAGACCTGTTGTAAAGACTCGCGGGTTGATTCTAGATAGGATGTCGTCGACATATGTCTCCTTGGTTAATATCTCTGAGCTCCTGGGGTACCCCTCTTGAGAGTCTTTGGCTAGCTTTTGGAGGGTTCTTATGGCCAAATATGGCGCACAGTTCACGCCGAACGTCACCGTTTTTAATTTAAAGTCCTCTATTGGACCCTGTTGAGATCTGCGAAATAGAATTCGCTGAAAGTCCTGGTCTTCGTCATACACATATATTTGGCGATACATCTTTTCGATGTCGCCGTTAAATACATATCTGTAGAGACGCGATTTGAGAATTACGAGCATTAAATCATTTTGTAGAACGGGACCTGTGTGGAGAACGTCATTGAGAGAGATGCCGGAGTGGGAGAGCTTTGAAGCGTTAAATACTACTCGGACCTTAGTAGTTTTGCTATCGGGTTTTAAGACCGCATGATGGCGTAAGTAGAACGAGAAGTACTTGCCGTCACGTACTATCTCATGCGAAGAGCAAGGTTCCATATGGTTCAGAGTAATGTATTCTCCCAGAACTTTCGAATATGGTTGTAGTTCGGCTCTTTTTTCTATGCTTCGTTCGACGCTTAGGTATTGTTGTTGAGCTGCTGGTCTTGAGTGTCCTAACGCTATTGTTTCGGGAAACGAGGGTTTGAATGGCAGCTTCACTACGTATCGTCCGTCTTCTCTTCGAAAAGTGGTCCGCTGATATAGCTCCTCGCAGAAGGCGTCGTCGTCCGTTGGAATTGATTCTGCTGGAACCTCCTCCTGCTCCCAAAATCTCCTGAGGAGATCGTTTAATGAGTCGCCTGGGTTCTCAACTATTTGAGTGGAGAATGTTGAAACTCGTTCTGTTAGTGGGCCGCTTAGTATCCACCCAAATATGGAGTTTTGGGCAATCAGGCTTCCACCAACATTAGGTTTAAGTCCTGGAAGTAGAATTTGTGGAATAAGGTCGCTACCTATTACCATATCGATTCTGGCAGGAGCGAAGCAATTGGGGTCTGCTAGGGGCAACGATGGGTATTCTTGAGGGCAGGAAATGAGTCAGTTGAGGCAATATTATCGCAGTTGCAGGTATTTTGATTTGCAAATCTGACGAGCCAAGGGGTAATTGAACATACTTTGTTCGAATTTTGGACTATTCGACCGCCCATTCCTAGAATTTCATAATGTGTGTTTCTAGTTGTAAGACCAAGTAGCTTTTGTATGCGGGAGGATACGAACGTCTTTTGAGATCCTTGATCTATAAGGGCGCGGATTTGAACTATTTCACCATTATGTAATATTGGGTAGTAAGGTTTTTTCTTTGTTACTCGCGAAATGTGAGAGAATTTGTTCCTTGCTATTGTGGTTTGCATTTGGCTTGATTTGAGGTTTGGTAGTCTGATTTGCGCTAGAGAGGCGGGTTTGATTGATGACTTGGGGTGTCTTGACTACCTTAGTGGGTTTTTGAGCCCCCGACGTTTGGGTATTCGTCGAGTAATGGAGCAGGGAGTGGTGTCGCCTTTGACAATACACGCATGTGAAATTGCTTGGACACTCATTTTCTAGGTGAGAATATGCTAGACAGTTCTTGCAGTAATTATTTTCTTTTATATATTTATTTCGATCAGAAGTCGAAAGTTCTTTGAATTTTATGCAATTCATCATGGAGTGATTAGAGTTGCACAGTTTGCACGAAACCTGTCTCTTTGAATCAGTATGGAAGGAGTGAGTTTTATTTTTGAAGCTGTGCATCTGGTTTCCTGGGGTTGAGGTTCGCTGGGTGAAGTTGGGGTAATTTTTTGGTTTCCCTGGCCTATAGGTACTGAGACGCTCCACAACTTCATATCGCGTTGTGAGGAATTGGTCCATTTCTGACCAGAGAGGGAGTTCTTTTCGCGAATTTAGAGATTGCTCCCACAACGCTATAGTTTCACTGGGAGTTTCGACGAACAGAGATAAATCAGCATCGGGTCCCAGTTTTCTGTGGTCACACCGTTCGCTTTAAGAGTGGAGAGACAATTGTTTATGGTTGTCTGTATACTTTGGATTTTTTCCCCGTTTTCATTATGTACGGGCTGAATATTGAACAGGGTCTTTATTTGGTTATCAACCACTATCCTACGGTTTTCGTACCTAGATTTCAGAGCATCCCACGCGAGTTCGAAATTGTTGTCATTTAACCCGTAATTTTTTATAATTAAGCCAGCTTTACCCCTTGTTTTTTGTCTCAGGTGATAAAGCTTTTGGGCTTGGGAGAGTTTAGGATGCTTGATGTACACCGCTGTGAACATGCCCCTAAAGGACGGCCATTCCTCATATCCTCCGTAGAAGATATCAGTGTCACATGCGGGTACCTTGAGATAGTTACCGGGTTTGGTTTGGTTATGGGGCATAAACATCGAGGGTGGGAGGTTGTTGGTTGTTTTCGACTGGATCTTGCTGAGAAGTTCGTTTACCCTCAAACGTGTGCTCAATCCGGCGTCATTGGATGCATCATACTTCGATTCGCATGATTTCCGCGTCTTTTCTTCTGCAGTGCTCATCTGGAGGTTCTCGTGCGCTGTGTCCACCAAAGCCATGTACTTATTCAGCTGCTCCAGATATGTTTTTAATCCGGCTTCGGAATGGTCCGCCTCGCAAATGTTCCACCATTTTTCGCAGTATTTGTCTAATCTTGAGGTTTCAAAGAGGAATTTCTTGTAAGTATTCACTAATTCCTCTTCGTCTGCCTCCGATTTGGATCGAGTCTTAATACGGCTACGAGTTTTTCCTGCTTATCTTCTGTCATTGCTTTAGAATTTGAGGGCTTTAACTTTTAAATTTACTTCAATAATAAATTTTTAAGGGAATTTTAATTATTGGTGAGTTTTGACACACCGTATTATAAGCGAGTTATTTGTGCGCTTGTCCCACTGTGCTGCTTGAGTACAGTCACAGTATGTATGCCTGTATATTTGCCTTTGTTTTGAGAGAAGCAAAGTACACTTGATTTTCAATTCCGCTAGAGCAGCGCTAATTGCGACTGTAGATATTTATATGTATGTACATATACACTTTGCCGAACCGTTGGCTTAAATATTTTGTATATCCGTGTGTACGGATGCGTGTTTACCGCAACGGATAGAGAGCAGTGGCGCCAACCAGTATTTATGTACGTATACTTGTATATGTATGTATGATAAATAGTATGTATGGGATATCTCTAGATTTATATTTCGCGTTAGTTCGGTTTTGGAATGTAGGTAAATATATTTTTTTTGCTTGAAGGGATCTCATGCAAGTTATGTGTGGTGGATTTTATGTTATTTTTCCCACCGTACCGCTTCAGCGCATCTGACGACAGTCCGGAGTATATACGTATGAAGTAACGGCGTTGTTCGCTCGTTAAAAATTTGTTGAGAGATAAAGTTGCTAGCTATATGAGTGCGAGATGTATATATGCTGGAGCATATATATATGGGAATTTGGTGGCTAGGGTGGCTCTGATTATTTTTTATTTATTTTATATTATAATTTAATTTTTTTCTTAATGCGAATTTTCCTAAATAATAGGGTGATTTTTATGTATTTTGTTTGACTTATGCCTTTATGTATATTTTGATAAAGTTTATCACAGATGATGCAGAGATATCCCTAGTTTTCTAGTGTACGTATGTATATACATCTAATTCCATGCAAACTGTACATATAAATTGCGCGAATGTTTATTATTATTTTTATTTATTTTTCTTCGAGGGGTAGTTGATGTGCGTGT